TTTTTTTTCCAAAAATGTTTTGGTTTGATTGATCCAGAAATAAAAGATGGAATTGAGTCGATATTCTGAAGCTCTAAGCATTGAATCGACCATTACTTCTCTAACAACTCCAATGGGCCCTCTTCCTTTTTCTGTCATTAAAATGGGAATAATAATTTAGGTGACCCTATGCTTTTAAAGACCAACGTTGTGCCAAATTAATAACTCAATGTTATATCAAAATAATGTGCAATCTGAGTTATACAATATACAATATAAATGTAGGTATGTGATATTAATGGTTGTTTATTTATCCAATGATTTTTTTGTTTTTTTATGTTGGTCGCATGACGGGAAACAACTCTTTCTCATCACTTATTTCATTTCATCCACGCAACATGTGACTTATTCTCAAAACTTCTTATTCTCAAAACTTCTTATTTCTATTGAAAAGAAATTACTACTAAACTATTTAGGTCATTAGCTCAACATACTTTAATGATTTTTATTTTGTAGAAACTCATCATATGTTAAAAATATGAAGTTTTTCGTGTATATATTCTTCTCAACATACTTCAATCTGAACTCAACTTTAAAAACAATACTTATTTCTTAATGAATCAAATAATTATTGTATATAATTTTCTCATTTATCTCATTTTGCTTCAATGGGAGATTCTTGCACTTTACTACTCTCACTAGTTCACATGATTCTTGCACTTTACAACTCTCCCTCGTTCATATAACACTCTACACTCACCATGTGAAGCTAATGCCAACATTTGGGAGCAAGATGTGTGGAGTACAAAGACAATACAAGTGTGTGCATAAGATAAATTCAACTAGTTAAGCACATTATGCAAAAAATTTTATAAAAAAAGAATGGAAGAAGGAAAAAACATGCACACACAGACGCTTGAACTCACAACCTCGCATAACCATTTGATACCTTTGGCGAATTGTCGTTTTTTATGAGACAAGGCACAATGGTCTAATAATAATAATCAAAAGAACAGGATTTGGAAAGTTCTTGTGATTTGGAGCTCCAAATGGGATGCAAAAGATTGAAGGCTTGGCAGACAAAAGAGAGAAAATGATTGAATGCCCTTTTTCCTTTCTACTTTGTTTTGACATCACTCAGCACCACCACCCTCAATAATAACTTTCAAAAGTTTTTTCTTTTTCTTTTCAAACATTGTACGATTGTTGGGGCGATTGGGGTATGAGAATAGAACCTAACACACTCTAACCAATGGGACTACAAACCCGATTTCAATGGGTTACCCATAAACTTCATTAAAAACATTCAGATTTGTGGGTTTTGTCACTTTAGTGTACACTAAGACAGTTACATTTTATAAAAAATTCTTATTAGGTAAGGCTTGTGCACACTAAAGTGACTAAACTCGCAAACTATATGAAAATTTCCATTTGTGGGTAAAGCAGTAGAGCCTATTCCCAACCAGCTAGGCTACCATAGGCCTTTTTGGTTTTTCCTTTGACATATGGAGTCAGCAGCTACCTAAGAATATTTATAATGCTCTTCCTAAACTCTATAAAAATTCTTATTTTTGGATATTGTGTACACTAAGACCCTAAACTTATTCAAAATTTTCATTTATGTATAAGGCTTGTGTTGTGTACGCCAAGTCCCCATGAGATGAAAATTTCCATTTGAATAGGTAGAGCCTCTTCCTAACCAAGCATTTACATGGCTTGGTGTTTCTACCCCTTCCCTACATGGGAGTCATAATAAGGTAAGGTAATCCACCAAAAATATTTGGATGCTCTTATCATTGGAACCATTAAAGTCTTGGTCATCCATGAGCCAAGGTGATTTCAGCAAAGGATAAGTGTTTTTTATGATTGTCTTTATAAGAATCAGTTACAAATGGTGAGGGGTGTGACATTGCGATGGATGGAATCATTTTGTTAATTATGACTATGCCAGGTAGAGGTGGGGAAATAATAGCTTGATTAGCATTTGGTATTCATTTATACCACTAACCCCTAAATGTTAACTTTCTATCTTAAGAGATATTTAGATTAACAATTCAAATGCAATGAATAACTAATAATCAATAGTTATTATTGCTTATAATCTACATATTCTTTTTTGTCTAATTAATTCAAACTGCTAATATCAAATCTCTGTACCAAACACCCCCTTAATTGACTTGAATGATTTGAAGGTCTTGATATTCAAAATGTAAATTCAAAGGCCAAAACGTGAAACGAAAGCAAGTTTTGAGCTCTAATTATGCATATGTTGCATAAATCAGGGATAGCAATTGTAAATTTAGAAAAGTCTATAGATTAAAAAAAAAAAAATTGCATCGGTATCTCCATAACCCCGGCGAAGTCTAAGATCTATTTCGCGGTGCTCTTCCTCCACTGCCACTGCCTATCTCCGGCGCCGGTAGACCTGACGCCGCTCCCATCATCCAATCATAGCCGTCTATCACTGTCTTCTCAGGCCGGCTGGGAAAACTGGATGGATCACCTGTCGTACGATCCCTACTACCTGCAACCAGATACTGATCGGAGCTTGATCAAGACGCTCTTCGTTTCGGGGCTTCCAGACGACGTTAAGGCGCGTGAGATTCACAACCTTTTTCGCCGTCGCCCTGGCTTTGAGTCTTGCCAGCTTAAGTACACTGGCCGTGGTAACCAGGTTTTCTTACAAATTCCATTTTCTGTTTGTTTCCTAAGAGAGCTTATTTATTTACAGCAGAATGCTAAAAATGCTCCATCCTATGCAAGAATTGGGTAAATGTAGTTCCTTTGATATCAAATTTACAGAAACAAAGCAAGCATTTTTTCTTATATCAATTGCTAATTAGTGTTAATTTTTTATGCAAAGAATTTTTTCCTGGGTTTAATTAGGTGCCATATATAATTAAAAATTAAGTACATAGGTGAATGAAATTCCTTTGATATCAAATTTAGTCAAGGAAAACAGGAATTAAGCTGTGTCTTGTGTTCTATGTTATATATCCTATTTTTGTGGCAATTGTTAATCAATGATAATAGTGAGACTTTTTTCCTGGGTTTAAAACAAGGTGCTATATAATTAGAATTTTTAAGTTTTGAAGCTTCTTTTGGATTTTCAAGGAGGTTAATGGAGAAATTTTTTTGAGTTGAATAGAGAAAGTTTTTTAGTATACGGGAGTGAAGGATTTGTTCATGAATTGTGATAGATTATTGATCAATCTGTCAAAATGATATGTTATTTACTTCTGAAGCCCTCTTTGCTTGCTTTCACTTTTGCAAAGATTTGGCCTTTATTGTATGTTAAAGATTTTATGGTTCCTTAATCACATAAATGATTGTTCTGGTGACAAGAAAATGGCCTAAAGCTTCAATTGCTCGTCCTTTAATCCAAAAAAGGTCTCAAGTTCTAATCATTCCTTCTAACCCCA